TTTTTCCTAATGTATATAACGCCATCATGTGCGATACACACACATTTGATAAATATGAAAGTTATCAAATACGTAAAACAGAAGGATGCAAAGTGATATTAAAGTCTTATATAGAATACCATACATAATAAACACTGCCTGTAGTTTATGCGAGTAGTGCACATTTAAATAAAATACTTTAACGGTTTTAAACACGATATATATTAGTTATACTTTTTTGAAAATTGTTTTAAATACGGCCTGACGTTTCGGATGCTTTGCAGCGGCTATAGTCACGGGGAGACATATGTATTAGTGTACATGGCCTAAATTTTTACTTGAACTTTTATTAAAAACATCGACGTCACTAACAGCTGATTTACACTTCCTAGAAAAACTCTACCAACAGTTTAACAGTCCGTCAATTTTAATTAATGTATTTCGTTGTGAATTGGGTCGTTTGAACGAGGATTACTGAATCACTCCCTTTAATCTAAATTGATTAAAATTTGTAAATCCTTGTCTTATTAGTAAATAACTAATGTCTGTAGTTGCCATGGTTACTCAAACAACAACTCTACCTATAGCTGTAGCTAAGTTATAATTTATTGAGATTAAATGAGCGAAATGTTATGTGTTGTTAAAATAATACTCTACGGGAGTACACATTTAAATAAAATATTGAATCAAATTCAAAATATTGGGATATTTGAAGCCCATTCTGTCCTCCCCCATCATGAAAAAATACCGCGAAAACACTCTTAGTCAGTTCATAAAATGCCCAGCAAGTTTTGCCAAATACCAACTACTACTAACAGATGGCGCTAGCAGAGCAGGTCTTATTTTGACAATATGGACACCATCTGTCTTTAGTTCCTCCGTGACCACGGCTGCTGCAAAGCATCCGAAACGTCGGGCCGCAGTTAAAATGATTTATTAATAAGTTTAACACATACATTTCGCGTTTTAAATTGTTAAAAGTGAATACTGTCTATAGTTTACGCGAGTAGTGCACATTTAAATTTTTTAATGTCATAGAAGTTGATATGCCCCAGCCCAACTTCTAATTATTAACAAATGACTGTTTAAAACAATGTTAATTAATCTACCGACAATAGTTAAGTTATACAAAGCCACTGATAAACTATTTTCTAAAACTATTCAGTTGAAATATAATAGTTAGAAATGGATGAATGGATTCGAATTTGAAAGCAGTTTTGCAAGGCAAGCAACTTTGCTTTTCACTAAATTGAAAACAACTTCACTATGTACACATTCTTATTTTACCTCAATAAGGCTGTGGTTATAAAGAAATTAGTTTTTGAACTATTCGAAATAAAATAATATATAAGAATAATTGCTATGTTCGTTGCAAACAGCGGGCCGTCGTTAAAATGTATTGTAAATAAGTTGAATTGATATATTTCGAGTTTTAAACCGTTAATCGTGTTTAAATGTTATTTTTTTAAATTATGCCGTCATAAACTGTACAGTACAGTTTTAGTGATGTGGTTCAAACTTTTTCAAGAATAAATAGTATTTTTTATTACTTTTATAACCGTGCAAGTTGAGATATAAATTCTATTTTTCATTTTGAATTGGTCTAATTCTAGACCAATAAAAAGAAATAACAAGTACTTTAATTTTGTAGAAAAAAATTAAAGACGCGCACACATGTGTGTGTAAGTCAGTAGTTCTGTTATTTGCTAGTGCAATAGAAAGCCATACTCGCACTTTCCGCGTTACGTAACGGTTTGTCCTCCCTTCAAATGGGAACAGAGTCTAAAACGGATTGGCTAGTAAATTTGATACGCGTAGCAGAATCTCTCAAAGGCCGTGCAATAAATCCAAGCTGACTAATATAAGTGTGCCCGCTGCCTTATGTTCGGGTACAAAATAGATTTATTACAGACTTAGCGATGCAAGATAAAGTTTGTACATCGTATATCTCCCGGGAAGGACTAGAAGAGCTCGTTTCGTTGTTCACTATTGAATCAGCTGTCAAAGACTCAAATTTAAAACCACATTTAAAACTTAATGACGGTTTAAAACGCGAACTATATTACTTAATTGCAGCAGCAGCCGAAACACCGAACAACTCAACTACATAAATCGTACGTATCGATTGTATATTTAAAAAAAATCGCGCCAGACTTGAACCAGCATCTACAGTGTTCCGTGCTGTTTCTCTTACCAATTGAGCGACTGAGTCTGTCTCTAACTAGACAGTTAAAAATAATTTAACTAGCACATTTGGTGTTTAAAACCGTTTCATGTGTTTTATTTCAATGTGTTTTTAATAAACAGATTTTATTTATTATATACAAAAAAATACGAGGTATAAAAGTAAAAACCAGTAGTAGTGTAGTGTAGATAACAATAGTATAAATTTAAATAGAACAGCGGTTTAAGATGAGAAATAAATTATTTAACTGCAGTGGTACACGAAATATCAAACAAACGAACTACGCAGTTAAAAGTATTGTAAATTACTCTATACATTTTGGCATTTAAATCCGTTAAATGCGTTTTATTGAAATAGCTGTTACAAAGGTAAAAATTAATTGTCTGTGTAAGCAAGTACACATATAAATAAGACACATTTAACTTCTGGACGGCTAGTTAAAAGATCAGAGATCAAATTCAATAAAAGTCAATCCCGTTACCCCACGTGGGGCATGGGGCTTCACTGAGAGCAAGTAATAGATACAATTTTATTTTCCCGGGGTTCGAATCTTGTGCTTCTCACGTTAAATGCTATAAGGGGTTACAATATATCAAAAACTTGGTTATTATAGAATCTACTGAAGCATAAAACGCAAGTACGGTATGCACGTAGTGAGTAAAAGAAATTCACGTGACCTTGCGGGGAAGGGAGAACGCAGGATGTACGCACCGCTTCACACTCCTTTGCTGTCTTTACATCGTACGATTTTATGTCGTGTCGTGACGATTACTGTTATAATACTCGGGGACGATATTTTACACATCAAAATGTCATAATACAGAAATATTACGACTAAATCATGTTGCTCTAATAAATAAGTTTTACAAATTATTTTTATACTATAACATTATTATAATATTTTTTATATTTAATTTTACATACAAACGCAATATTTTATAATAGAGAAGGACAGACAACCATGGGTTTAATTTCCTGATTTCCAGATGAAGTCCAATATGTTGCAGAAAAATTATTAATTGGTTAGAAAAATATTGGACGTGGTGGGGTTCGAACCCGAGACTCGTTGATTTTTAGCCATACATTGCTACCCTAAACGAAATTGCAACGATACTGTCAAACAAAGGCAATACGAGAGAAAGTAAAATACACTAAAGAAAATAAAAATAAATGAAAAAAATTGTAAACATCTTTATTTTTATTAAACTAGAAAAAGACACTACAAAACATTACAAATATGTATAATAGATATTATTTCATAAATTGCTTTCTTCGCCTACCGCGTACGTTATATCGTGTCGTTCGGTATAAAAACACTAACGGACGTAAACTACCCACAAGGATTCACGGACGGACGGACACGAGTCCTTTGTGTTTTTGTGTTCCTAATGACGCTAACCGTTGAATAAGATAATAATTTAACGTCTTTTTGTGTAGATCACACTTCATTTAATTTGAGGTTTCAGTTACCGAGAAGTTTTAGTTGAGATGCTCAGTGGTCAAAGACATTGCTTAGCATTGAGTTGTCTTGAGATTCAGGGTACGATATCCGGGGAAATAATATAAATAGTTTCGAACAGTGACTTACGTCTTTAGGTTTTGTAGTCCAGAGTTCGTCATCCGGGAAAATTAGTAGTAGTAATTGAGCTAAGAGAAAATTAGTCATTAAAACGGCTATAGGATGAAGTCTGCCTCCTGCACCACAAGGGAAAACGGAATTTTATTCATTAGTAGGTCTGACTCTTCTGCGAAGTTCTTCTTTTTGTGTTAGATTTTATGAAATTGTATAATATAAAAATAATTTACAACTGTCCAGTCATATATCTTATAGTCTATATCGGCCGTCTGTGGATTCAGTCTGTGGATATTTAAATAAAACACTGTAACGGTTTAAAACGCGATATGTTACGTTTCGGATGCTTTGCAGCAGCCCAAACGTCGGGCCGAAGTTAAAAAACATTTTCAAATAAGTTTCACTGATATATCGTGTTTTAAACCGTTAAAGTGTTTTATTTAAATGTGTACTACTCGCGTAAACTATAGACAGTGTTTAGTCTGTGGATATCCAAATATCCAATGGCGAAATAGGGCGACAGCACATCTTGTTTAGGTGTCATATGGCTGGGGTATTTCAAATTCTATCAAGTTTGTCTGTCCTTCTGTATCTTACATTCTATATAGGAACTTGTAATTCTAGCTTCATTTTGAACATAACGTCTAACATAAGGTTACTTGAAGACGGTAAAAAGCCCGCAAACAACGTCTGCCTGCGTCATATGGCGTTTCACACACCTTGCCGCTTGCGCAGCGAACTGTGACGATCGTATGGAGCGAAGAATCCCGTGGGAACGATATAACGCGGTGATCTCTTACGTAAAATTAGTTTTTTATAGCATATGCTTATCGTGCAGTTAGATGTTTTAGGAGAGAGAAAAAACAGTGATCAATCCTATGTATGTAAGAGGATTTAAATTTCCCGCAAATTCTAAAGATTTGACATTATGTGTGACGTGGTGTAACGTCACACATAATGTCAAGATGGCGGGTTTTTATCGTGAATGGAGTGATGAAGTGAAATTCTTTACAATCTATAAATAAGTAATTTACCATTGTTATTAATAAGATTGTTCTTATAAGATTGCCGAAATAACTTAATTTGTTGTTTCTTTCAGGTAATTCTTTTTATATTAAAATTGTTGTAGTAGTTTGTGTAAGTTTAGATTGTTAAATAACAAGAACATTAAATCTTTCAGATTAAAGCAACAACACGTTTTATTTCGCATAAAAATCATAATCGATCTCCTTATAAAACAACAATTTTTTTATTTTGGATAAAATGGATAAATTGAATTTTGAATTTCAACTAATGGGAGATGGTAAAAGCAATGTTGTTCATGTAATATCTATAATGACAACGGATGGAAGAATATACATCTTGCCACAGGAACTCCAGATAGCTAGCGTGCATACAGAGTTAATTAAGTGTCCGGCTTATAGTAAAGTAAAAAATAGTCTGAAAAAAAGACATCAGACAAGAAAGGTGTGGATAACATTATCAAAAGAAATGAAAAATGTATACATGGATGAAGAGGGAAATCTTCAATTTTCGGACCAATATTTGGAAGAAAATCAATCTCAGTTTGAACCAAAAGAGACTCAAACATTAGAAAAATTATTGGAAAAGATATTAATCAATACCCAAGGAAATAAGCCACAAAACTTAAGCTACACAGCGGAAAGGTTTGTTATTGACAAGTTTTCTAGCAAACATACCAATGCAAATCAGTGGATTGAGTTTTTTGAAAAAGAATGTGAGCGCTTTGAAGTCACATCAGATAGTAAGAAAATTGAGATGCTACGACTACTAATGGATAAAAGTTGCAATGACTGGTACAATTCTATGTTTATTAAATATACAATGGATTCTGAGTGGTTAATATGGAAAACCAAATTTTGTGAAACATTTGCAAGCAAAGGATGGAATCCTGTAGCGTATGCTTTGAAATTTAAATATCAAGATGGCTCTTTGTTGGATTATGCCTTAAAAAAGGAAAGTCTTCTTTTAGATATGAGGAGAACAATAGACAAAGGTACCTTAATTGACCTTATTGTTTTTGGTTTACCAGAATATGTAATGAACAAAATTGATAGGGAAGAATTAAAGGACACGGTAGAACTTTTTAACGAGATTCATAAATATGAACATATGGTAAATAAGAAAAGTTATATAGTGAGGAGGAAAAACAATTACTACCCAAAAAATAATAATTATTACAATGAGGGAAAACAACCATGCAAAACGTGTGAGAAGTCTAATAAAGGAATAAGGTATCATTCTGAGGCGGTATGTTGGTTCAAGTCAAAGGAAGATGAAAAAACGAAGAGGTATAACATCAAGCATGTAAACAATTCCGTAATAGAAGCAAAGTTAAATGAATCTGAGGAAAAAAACTAATAGTAACACCATTAATTTATGTCAAACTTTTAATAAATAATAAATTACTAATAGATGGAATCTATGATTCAGGTTCCAATGTTTCTTTAATAAATTCTAAACTTTTAAAAGTAAATAAAACTGAAAATAATTTCAACAAAGCTGATTTAGTAACAATTAATGGTGTTAAAAAAACAAGTGGTTTGACCTCTTTGAATATAAAAATATTTGATATTGAAGAAACAGTAGATGTTTATATTATTGATGAAGATAATTTTAGATATAACTTTTTGATTGGATTAGATTTAATCAAGAAATTTAAATTAATTCAAACTGAAGATTTGAAAATTATTCAAAAACAGTTTTACACAACAAAACTAGAGGAGCAAAGCAAAGAGGTTTTTAAACAGGTTGACCCGTTGGAACAAATTCAAGTAGAAAATAAAATACCAGTGAAATATTTAATTAATTTTAATGAATATATAAACACAGAGGATTTCGAATTAAATATGAATAATTTAAACCCTGATCAAAAGTCAACAATAAATACACTGATATGCAATTACAAATGTGTGTTTGCGAAGGATAAGTATGACATTGGAATGGTCAAAGGTTATGAAGCGAGAATTGACTTGTTAATAGATAAATACTGTAGTAAAAGACCATATAAATGCACCATAGATGATAAAAAAGAAATAGAGCAACAAATAGCAAAATTATTAGACAATAAACTTATAGAAGAATCCTACAGCCCCTTTGCTGCACCTGTTACATTAGCTTTCAAAAAATCAGAAAATAAGAAATCTAGATTGTGTGTTGATTTCAGAGAGTTGAACAAAATAGTTGTTCCACAGGCTCAGCCATTCCCTTTAATAGAAGATTTAATGATGAGAACCAGAAATTGTAAGTTTTTTTCGACATTGGATATAAATTCTGCATTCTGGTCTATTCCTTTAAGAATCGAAGACAGAAAAAAAACAGGATTTATAACACAAGAAGGACATTATCAATGGACTTGTTTACCATTTGGACTAAAAACATCTCCTGCAATATTTCAAAGAATACTGAGCAATATATTAAGGAAGTATAAATTAACTGACTTCACAGTTAATTTCATCGACGACATTCTGATTTTTTCTAAATCATTTGAGGAACATATAATTCATTTGAAAAAGCTGCTGGAAGCAATAAAATCTGAAGGCTTTAGATTAAAATTTACTAAATGCACATTCGCCTTAGATTGTGTGAAGTATCTTGGTCATATTATTGGAAACAACTCTATTCAACCATTAAAAGATAACTTGATTTCGATCCAATATTTTCCAGTGCCAAGAACACAGAAAAATGTAAGACATTTTTTGGGAAAAATCAACTTCTATAATGAATATATACCTAAAGGTGCAATAATACTTGAACCATTGCATAATCTGTTAAGAAAAAACCAAAAATTTATATGGGATCATAATTGTCAACGAGCTTTTGATACAATAAAAAGTCTATTATGCTCACAACCAATTCTTGAGATATTTGATTCCAATTTACCAATAAACATTTATACTGATGCTTCAATTGAAGGAGTAGGAGCTATTTTAAAACAGATACAATTAAATGGAAAGGAGAAGCCAGTAGCATATTTCTCTAAAAAACTTAATACGGCTCAGAAGAAAAAAAAGGCAATTTATCTGGAATGCTTAGCTATTAAAGAAGCAGTGAGATACTGGCAATACTGGTTAATCGGAAAGTCGTTTACGGTCTACACAGATCATAAACCATTGGAAAACATGAATTTGAAATCAAGAACGGACGAGGAATTGGGAGATTTAGTTTATTATTTGTCTCAATATGATTTTAAGATTATATACTCTCCTGGAAAGAATAACTTAGAAGCAGATTGTTTAAGTAGAAACCCAGTCTTGGGTATAGAAGAAAATAGAGATGAACAATTGAAAGTTGTAAATTTTATTGAGTGTGATGATATAATAAAAGATCAAGATAGTAATGAAGAATTACAAAATAATAAGAATCGGTTGGTGGAAAAACATAATATATTCTTAAAGAAGGTCAGAGGAACGGAAAAAATAATATTAACAGAAGAATTTAGTAAATTTTTTTTTAGGAATGTACATAAAAAATTATGTCATATTGGAATTAATCAAATGCTAAAAACAATAAGCCCATATTATACTGCAAAAAATTTAACTTTAAACATAAAGAATATTTGTAAAACATGTGATATTTGTATAAAAAATAAGTCAAGAGGACAAGAGAAAATTGGATTTTTGTCTCATCTAGGGCCAGCCAGAAAACCGTTTGAAATAGTATCCATAGATACCATAGGAGGGTTTGGAGGCTCACGATCAACAAAAAAATACCTACATCTCTTAGTAGATCATTTTACGAGGTATGCATACATAATAACATCTAAGACACAAAATGCAAGTGATTTTATTAAATTAATTAATAGTACAGAAACGGATGATATTCAATTCTTACTTACTGATCAATATCCAGGGATAAATTCGAATGACTTTAAGAATTTTTTGAAAACCAAAAATATAATAATGATTTTTACTGCTGTAAATGCGCCTTTCTCAAACGGATTAAATGAGAGACTTAACCAAACACTGGTAAATAAAATGAGATGTAAAATAAATGAAAAGTCAAACACAAAGTCATGGACAACAATAGCTCACGAATGTGTAAAGGTATACAATAATACAGGTCATTCAGTAACCGGGTTTTCTCCAAGTTATCTTCTATATGGCAGAGATGTAAATATTTTGCCGACTGAATTAAAAGTAGGAAAGGAAAGTGCTGAGTGGATAAGAGATAAAGAAATAGCGCTGAAAAACACATTAAAATCACATAATTACAATAAGAAAGTTTTTGATAAAAATCGAAAAACTTATGAATTTGCTGAGGGAGACATGGTATATGTAGAACACGGAAATAAATTAAATAGAAAGAAATTAGAAGAATTGAAAATAGGACCATTTAAAATATTAAAAAAGAAATCCTCTTCGATATTTGAAGTTGATACTGGTCATAAGAAAAAGGAATCAAATTTTTTTCATATTACTAAACTTCTTCCAGTATCTGTACATGGTTAATGGTAGTGTAATGCTTGCATATACGGTTATTTGGAAAGAATTTTTGAGGAAAATTCTTTTTCTTGGCGGGGAGATGTAAGAGGATTTAAATTTCCCGCAAATTCTAAAGATTTGACATTATGTGTGACGTGGTGTAACGTCACACATAATGTCAAGATGGCGGGTTTTTATCGTGAATGGAGTGATGAAGTGAAATTCTTTACAATCTATAAATAAGTAATTTACCATTGTTATTAATAAGATTGTTCTTATAAGATTGCCGAAATAACTTAATTTGTTGTTTCTTTCAGGTAATTCTTTTTATATTAAAATTGTTGTAGTAGTTTGTGTAAGTTTAGATTGTTAAATAACAAGAACATTAAATCTTTCAGATTAAAGCAACAACACGTTTTATTTCGCATAAAAATCATAATCGATCTCCTTATATGTATATAATTTACAACAAAAAAACAATAACGTTATTATTTTTCACACACACATTTTTATTATTAGTTAAGTAAAACCTCGCTACTCGCTATTCTTAACTTATTATTTACCCGGGATTCAAACCCCGGACTTCTCCCGCTTACCGCAATGCTAGGCGTTTAACCATTTAATTAGAGAGGCGCTCGAGTTATTAGTATAAGTAACTTCGACTAAAACTTTTTTAATTACCTGGGATTCGAATCGAGGACTTCTCTCGCCTACTACAATGTTAGACGTTTAACGATTTAAATACAGAGACGGTTACGTTACTAGTATTAGGTCGACCAAATCAATCTCTTATTTTCCCGGGATTCGAACCCAAGACTTGTCTAGCTACAGCGGCGTTCAAGTTATTAGGTATAGTCAGTTATTGGTAATTTCAAACGTCCATGTCATTCAAATTTTAAAGCTAAATCTCAAAATTTACGTTTTCTGTCAGTTTTCAAATTGAGAGTGTTAGACGAACGAAAAACACTCAGCGCTACTCCTGTCAACGCCAAGTTTCATTTAAGAAGCCCACGAAGACAGCGAAGCGAAAGGGAAGAATTATTTCAGTATTTAACTATGTATTTACACTTAACATCCATTTTTTTTTAATAGAGAAGTTTCATTTGATGGTAGGTGTCATATCCCAGCCATATAACATCTCAACAAGATGTCTACCTTTATTGACGGTGGTTCATTCCCTTTAATTAATTGTTAGGTTTTTCATTAAATTAACATGAAATTTTACTAAGTGAATTTGAGGGAGTTTTATTGGTTTATTATAAAATCCAGTGTCTCAAAGTGTTTTTAGTGTAAATCAATGTAAGCCCTGTGAGAAAATCACGATTCCATGTAAATTGTGTGTTTGTTAAAAAAAATGTCAAGTTAGAAAAAATACACTATAAATATATTTTAATACACCGCTTCGTTTCATTAGTAGTTAACATTATCAGGGGTTTAAAATAATTATCTAACTTTTTCCAACAAAAATTAATTTTTGCATTATAATAAATAATTTAAAGACGACGAAGTCTCTCCAGTAACAGGCTCTATCGACCACAATATGTTGTATCAAATCAAAACCGGGATAACGACATTTTGTTGGCTTCTTAATATTAAATAACGACGAGTCCAAGACGGCGTTCCCGACTACCTGTTGTGTCAAACGGAAATTATAAAATAAGGTGGTTGATTTGAGATGATGGGGTACACTATGCCCTTCACGGCAAGTATTCAGGGTAAGTATTTATTCCTTTACCATTTTTTTATGATAGAGGAGGGGGGGAGTGATATGATAGACAAGTGTGAGATTTTCTTAATTACAGCCATGTAACTAAATAAGATGTGATATCGACGTATTATAGCTTTGGATATTCGGAAAACCACAGACGAAAACAAAAACGCGCCTCAATTTATAAAATTCACTGCTTTTTATTTGCTGTTCGTGATCCATACGTAATTTCGATATCTCTATTACTAAATTTCATGGCAATGTCTACAAGGCGCGAGTAGTACATGAAACAATAGTTTGAAAAAAATCGAAGATGACGTGGAGCATGTCGAAGGAACGCTGTGGACACCTGTTCAAGTCTCGCCCGTGTCGTAAATTTTATTAAATCTAAAACCTATTTTAATTTATTATTAATTATGTAATGCCATCATTATGTGCAACAAGTGAAAAATATTAAAGTTGTCAAAGTCCAATATGTTTCAGAAAAGGTTTAAATTGATAAGATACATATTGCAACCGGTGGAAATCGAACCGAGTCGTTGATTATTAGCTAAAGGAAATACTAAGCACTTGTAACTACTGTACTGTGGAGGCAGTTTTACAAAGTATTTACATTTAGTGGTATTTTAGAGTCTGTGGTAAGCAGCATTAGACATGAAATACAACGTACAACAAACATTTCAACCATATCATATCGTAAACACGAAAACTGCAAACTGCAAAAGCGCCAAAATCTTAGGCGAAACCGCATGTAATTACATGTATAAATTCTACTAGCATTATTGTTATGCGCGCTGTATTTTCGTCCTTATGCTTTTTACATAGAGTTGAAAGTCCAAACGACTTGGTGTTTTACATTGTCGCTGTTCGAAGTTACGACCTAAGCCGTATGACTCTGTTACAATGTTTGTTTTAAACCATATTTCTCGAGTAAAGTAAAGTAGGACTGATATTAAAAATGCGTCTTATTAAGTATTGTAAGTTAACTTGAGTACGCCTTTTTAATGGAAAACTTTTAACAGTTTAAAACGCGAAATATACTAACAATTTTCGTAGTCCCCCTGTGACCATGCTGCAAAGTTGCGGCTATTAATTGTAAGTAAACTATGACAATTTGAGTTTTTAACCGTTAATAGATATTGAGAGACAAACAAAGGTCGAACTAAAGTCGATCATAATATGTTATATATATATATATAAAATTCCGTTTTCCTCGTGGGGCAAGAAACGAACACATTTATGCGTCCGTTTTCTATGAACTGACTTTTGTGTCAACTCTCTCTGCTCAACCGAAACAACCTATTGTTTCTTCGGGATTCGAAACCAGGTTCTGTCACGTGTAAACCACAGACTAAATACAAAAAAAATGATCCAAAATAACAATTCTACGCAGACGAAGTCGCTGGCATAGCTAGGGTAATATAAAATACAACCTGCCGAGCCTCTGCTATCTACTATCGCGATATTATATGCCATGTAACCCTTATCAAGGCGTCTGCATAAAATTATTCGGTTCGCTGCATTTAATAATTGTTGTATTTTCTCACGGAATATCTGTTCTACGTTAGAGCAGGACAGCTATATTAATTTGTCTTCGAGAGCGTGTATATTTTGTAGAGGTAATTGAATTTCAAGAAACGTATTTGAACCCACCAACCCACAAATATTAAGGAATAATTTGCATCTATCTGACGTTTAGAAGCTACCTTATGCGTAATCAAGCAAGGATCAAGCTATTTTCTTCAAGAGCCAATTACGAGAAAACAGATGGCGCTAGCGTAGCAGGTTAGACATCATGAGAGACACCTTCCATCTTCAGTCCGTGACCGCTACAAAGCATCGAACAACGTGTCGTAATTAAAATTTAAAATATGACTGATTTCGCGTTTTAAACCGTTAAAGTGTTTCATTTTTAGTAAACGGTGCTCGAATCTATCTATATCTATATAAATACGCTATTGTATTGTTATTTATTACATGTATAATTATAAAAATTAATACCTATAATGAAGAATTATTGTGTACCTTTTAATTATTGTCTATTGAACATTTAAATAAACAGTAATTTATCCAGGAAAGCGTGCGTTTTGTTTCGACTAAAAATAAATTCAAGAGCAGGGTAATTGTATCTTAAATCCATTAAAATACTGATCATTTTTCCTTGAACATTCTTTTTCAAGGCATCGTTATTCACGGCGGGCAATTCACTTCCAACTCTAATGTAGTGGCATAAGGTACATTTTATAAACACCCCAGCGTCATAATTTATCAAATGGGATAGAATCTGTCGTTGGAGATATCCCAGTATCTCTTCAAGGATGGTGATATTTTTTCCTTAATAAAGTAATGTTTTATTATTATACTGTTAAGCAAGATAGCTGTGGTTACGAACCAGAAAAAAAGAAGTCATAGATATTAAAATAAAACACTTTAACAGTTTAAAACGCGATATATTCGTTAAACTTATTTGGAAATGATTTTTAACTTCGGCCTGACGTTTCGGATGCTTTGCAGCAGCCGTGGTCACGGGGAGACGTCCCGAAACGTCAGGCCGAAGTTAAAAATCATTTCAAAATAAGTTTTACTAATATATCGCGTTTTAAACCGTTAAAGTGTTTTATTTAAATGTGTACTACTCGCGTAAACTATAGACAGTATTTAAGTCACATATATCAGATATACTCAATACTCAAACAACACTATAAAAACCTTCAAAAAGAGTGTACTTTGCTACCATAAGACTGAAGACCACAATTGGGTCCAACATTTTCCTAACAATGTATAATTAGACCAAGTAAATAAAATATTCATAAGTAGGACTACGTTATGAAACGTGTGTATTATACGGGTGGCAGGAGTGTCCCACCTCCGTCCAGGTTACCAGGAAAGGTCCAGGAAGTGGTGAAGTTGAATCCCGTTTCGGCTTCAGTCTGTGGATTTCCGAACGTTAAGAACAAAAATAGGCCGACAGTGTATCTAGTACCATTAAGCGAACCTAATGCTCGTCTGTTATTATAAAAAAAATGTTAATAAAAAGGAATTATCATAAAACTGTAGATATAGTTAGACGGCTTTCGTTGTTCGAAAAAATAATCAACTTTTCATGATACTCCGAAATAACTCCTATTACGAAATTTTGTTTACAGTGTTTCAGTACAAAACACTAGACTTTAATTCTTGGGAATTCAGTTCTTATTCCAATATTCGTAGCGGAAGAATCTAAACGCTATCGTAGTAGTTAAATTGTATCTTATAACTATTAGAAATAAGTTTCATTTTCGAATGTAAATCGCTGTTGTACTTCGAATTTCTAGCCAATTAACTATTTGTAATAGATTTGAACACGCGAAAATTCAATTCGGATTTTTGAGGAGACTTTTCCAAATGGAAAATACACTTTGTGGAAATTTTAATTGAGATTAATTTCCTGCGTTTAAAACATTAGGCGAGGTTTATTTTTGGGAAACCGACCGATACAAAATAATACTGACATACTTATAGTCTTTTATTTTTGATCAGTGAAACATATTAATGCCTCAAGTAGAGGAAACTATCGTTAGTTTAACGCTTTAATTTTATTTATTTTTTATGTTAAAGGTTCACTTGACCATAGGTGAAATACTCTAGCCATTTACCATCTTAACAAGATGCGCCGTCGACCTTATTTTTGGATTTTTAGGAATCCACTGACTAACTTTTCTTAAGACTACGATTTTTATCTGTGGACGGGGGTTCGGGTCGCGCACTAGATTATTTAAAGAAGAATAATTATTTGAAACATATTTTTGGAGTATCTTGAACCGTTTTCGTAGCTTACGCAACTTTAATAGGATTTTCCCTGTTTACACATTTCCTGGTGTTTTTTCGCTCCTATATCCTTCCTCGATAAACGCTCTAACTAACACAAAAATAAATTTTCATTACAATGTAATGGTTCCTGAGATGGGCATGTTTAAACAAACAAACGCTTCTACTTTATAAATTAGTATGGCTTGAACCCACCACCCGTTGTTTATTAGCCCGTCAAGTTAAAATTTACAATCTCAGTCTCTTAAACAGTAAAATTCACGAGAGTTATTGAAGTCTTTTTCGCGCAAACACTCATGTAAAACGTAAATACTCATGTCCGTATTTCAGATGGGCGTGCGCAAAGTAATTAAAAAGATTAATTATCCGCTAGATAGTTGCAAGACAGTTAGGGGAGTCATCAATCCAGACACCCCGGCCATATATCTCAACTTGTTAAACCACCTGGAGGCAACTTCTTGCGTGTTTGGATTCTAACAGAATGCCACATGACAGACCGTCCATATGTTTGTGACTTAGTAAGTAGGTCAAAGACTTTATGGTTGAAAAGGATCATTCAGAACTAATAGAGTGTAGAAAACCACGCGAAGTCTGTTAGACGATTTCCTAGACAATATAGTAATTATATCTAGATTATTTTTTATTTCAGGGATTCGTCGATACATTGGGTTAGATCCCCACCAAACCAACATGTTACTAATTTTTCAATTTATAATTTTTCTGAAACAGGGTGGACTTCTTCTGGAAATCTGGACATTCAATGGGTGGTATGAACTTCAAAATTCCGTCCGGGTCACATCCCACCGTCCGCAGATGAAGCCGTGAAGCTTAATCGCTTTTCGGTATCACCCTGTTCCGAATATCCAAAGCGAAAATAAGTCAACAGCGCTATTTTGCTTAGTCCTATAGGCTAGGGTATATCATCTACCATCTAGTGAACCACATGCCATGTTTGACCACCTCGATCATTGAAACAGCGTGGGTGACTCTTGTAGTGCTATTTTTCGGTAACATACAGACTGTAGACATGTTTACATTTAAGCGAATGTGATCTACTTTTTTGTAATTATGTTTGTGCAATAAAGAGATTTAATTACGATTTAACATTTATAAAAAGAAAAGACTAAAAAGTCTATTATTTATACGCGATTACATTAAAACATTTTTAATCGTTTAAAATAGGGGAAATATTTGTTTATTTTTACCGCCTACCCTAACTACTGTCGTTGTAAAGTGCATTTGAAATGACTGGTAGTTTAAGTAAATAAAAAGGATATATTAGGTAAATTGTATGTAGCTTTTAAAATCGTTAAAAGTATAAATATATAAATATTACTACAACGTACAACATTGAATTTGGACGTATCCGACTATTATTAGAAACAAGCTGTGTCCGCGACTTTGTCCGCGAGAAGCGTTATTTTGGGCATCCAAATTCATTTTTGCAAATCCCTTCATCTTTATACACTCAAACCCACCACGTCGGTTGCGTCCCTTCCTGTCGTTCTTGTAAGTTAAAAACTAGCCATAAAGCGGACTTTTTTTTAAATCATTTGAAGAGGAATCATTTTTGCATACATATTTATTTACTTTGAAACCCATATTGATTTTTACATTTCTCACTGTATATTCGCTTTTATTAGTCACAGGGCGATGTTTTGTAGCTTATAGCCTCTCACAATAAATGTTCTAAGATTTTTTTTATTCGAACCCGCAATTTCTGAGATTAGCGCGTTCAAACAAATAAACAAACTCTTCAGCTTTATATATTAGTACAGATGAGAATGAACGTTGTACTTCATACAATGTAAGTCTCGTTTATTCTATTCCTTGTTTGTTAAGTCATTATTCAAGTCACATAATTACAGATACGAATTTATTAATTAAATACGAATAGTCGATAAGTACCATGTAATGAGAAAACTTGAGTAATTACGTTACAGAATATACAAAAGGATTCAATTAAACATATTATTTGATCTGAATCATTGGAGTCTGTTGTTAATTAATGCGATACGTTGTTCTGCATTGGGCTTGTACTCTTAACGTGATTAAAAAACCACTGGCCCAAAACATTACTATTGTAAAATACAGAGTCAAATACAAAACAGTAGCAATGAATGGCTCAACGAGTCGCGTTCAATCCCCAATGAGACAAATACTTCTAAACTATATATCATTTTTGAAAAACACAAATGCGCCCATTTGATATCCAGATGACCTGGACGAAATACCGTTCACAGATCAAAGGGCCGTGATGTCTTCGCGTTTCGGTTTTAGTCTGTTGATTTCCGAATGTCCAAACCCAAAATAATTGATGTGTTCTAAATTACACACGTCTTGCCTCTGAAAAATGTTTTACGAATTATGGTCGTAATTTGGTTAAAAATTATCGAAGTATGAAAGTATTTTATACTAGCTGGTGCCCGCGACTTCTCGCAGATTAGGATTAGGATTACGTAGTATCGTGGATTTAAACTAAATGATGACTATCATATCATACATTACATAATTATCTGTAACTAACATTTATTGCAGCGCACGCCAGAATAGCTCGCAGAAAGGTTTTTCCTAGTTACTTGACACTTAATGTCATATTTTGGACAGCTCACACAATATCTTTATAAATTGTAGCCTATGTGTTATTTTGATGTATAAGCTATATTATTGGAAAACTTAATTGAAATCCATTCAGTAGTTTTTGCGTGAAAGAGTAACAAAGACTCATCCACACATACAAACTTTCACGTTTATAATATTAGTAGGATAAACTAATATATTATATTGTGTCATTTGAGGTTAAATTAGAAATGTAAATAAATTAATTATTTTGTATGCGTTGATGGGAAGCCTGGTCGAGGGACGGGCGACATAACGCGTTACGTAACGAGGGTCAACCTGCCAATACGAAAATTAATGAAATGTTACTACTAGCCGACACGTGCGAACGCCTTGCCCATATAACAATTTGCAATGTACAAAAGCCTCCACGTCAAAACCCCTAAAGTACGCAGAAAATTTACACGCAGCTATAAAGGGTGATTTGTTGGGGGTGGCCGCGGTAAATCATTGCGCACCTGTACTTCGATAGTAACGCGCCGGACAGTTTTTGTATTAGTCGGCTGATTTATGCCCGGCGTGAGTGAGGAAGAGTCGACGATAGTTGAAAAGAATCGGGACGAATTCGGATTAGTTTGAAAGATTCGGGATGTTTTATTTCACTACTTTTGACGTTTGCGTGGAGTTATTTATGCGTTTTGGGTCGAGTTTCGCTGGGGTATTGGGCTGAGTACTCACTAGCGAGATGTAACATACCTTATAACTCTTGAGTCCTGTCGTAGTTTACGTGAGTAGAACATATTTAAATAAAACACTTTTAACGGTTTTTAAAGCGAAATGTATTAGTAAAAATATTTGCATTTATTGATTTCGACTACGTTACTGCTAATACGATGCTTTGCAGCTGCCGTGGTCATGGGGGGACTTTAATAGAACGTTTCAAAGTTAGTTTAAAAAACCTTCTAAGAATAGTGCGTTTGTACATCAACAAGTTATAGATCTATTGGCCTGATGTGTAGCCGGATTTTTATTCTGTACACTCTCCCTGTGCTAGGTGAGGTAAGCATTTAGTCCTACTACTTTTATACTAAGAATAATATTGTGTGTAGTTTATGCCAATAGTACCTACACATTTAAATAAAACATGTTTAACGATTTAAAACGCGAAATGTATTAGGTAATTTACAATGTACGGCTCGATGCTAAGCAACAGGTGTGGTCACGGGGGACTTTTCGTAAGCGTGTCCGTTTTAAACCGTTAAAAGTGTTTTATTTGAATACTAATAAATAATGATATCTGAAAGGTCGTCTTCGTTCACATTATAATTAACTTTTATATTTCGGGTTTCAAACTGTTAAAAGTGATTTGTATATACGTTTAGAAAAACAATTTTCGAAAATGGCACACAAAGAATAAAACACACTTCACAGGTTAAAACGTGTACTTTTATTCTTTGTCGCTTTTTAATACGACCCGACGTTTCGGGTGTGGTCAGGACCTGTGGTGAACTACGTCGTTTGCATTTTAACCCGTTGATCGTATTTTATTTTATGCAATATATCCATCAATTATCTTTGTTAAATATAGTCACTGTAATCTTATATAATTCTAACGCCCAGCTGCAAAAATTCCTTGTTTTATACGAATTGGACAGGTGTTTATGTGTACTACACGCGTAAACTACAAACAGTGTTTAACGTGATTCAGATACGGTATTTTGAGGTAATTTCGCAATTAAACGAAATATTCAATTACCAGCGCCCCTTCCTAACAAAAAGTAATAGATGTACTATGGACAGTCAACAATAAAAACGAACAGATAACGTCAACCCTCTCTCAATGATAACGCTTTGTCGCACGATTGTACACAGTTAATGTTTCATGTTTCAGTGCTTTGTGCCGAGTTGTTATGAAAATTATTTTTGTGTAACGCTTTTATGAAGGATTACAATGCGAAATAGAATTCGCGCTCCGTTGATTTTATTACTTTGATAGCTTTAATATTTTTCACAAGATGGCACTATTTGAAATTAAAATCTATACTCGTAAAGTTGTTACCCAATTTCTTTGTATGTTTGACCGCGCTTATATCAGGAACTACGGGTTCTAATTGTAAAATTCATTTTATATTGGTTAGAGCATTTATCGAGGAAGGCTATAGTCTCTTGCCCTGTGACTAATACAAGCAAAGATACAGCGAGAAATGAGAACGACGGGAAGGGACACGTACGATGTCTCGGGTAACAGCTTAAGTCTATGAAGATGAAGGGGTTTGCAAAAACAAATTTGGATGCCCAAAATAACGATTCTTGCGGACGAAGTCGCTGTTACAGCTAGTCGATAATAAATTTAAAAAAAATACGACTCTGGCAGGACTTGAACTGACATCCTCAGCGTTCCGTGCTGTTGCTCTAACCGATTGAGCTACCGAGTTCTACAGGTAGGTTCAGGTATTACTTGTAGAAATTTAACGGAATAAAATGCGATGTATTTCGGTATTATTTTTATAATTGTGGCTCAATTCAAACAGGATTATAAGCATCGTCTGTAATTTACGCGAGTATTACATATCTAAATAAAACAATTTTAACGGTTTAAAACTCGAAAAATATTATCTCTGTTTACTCAAGTTCTTAACTATAATCTAAATCTTAAATTTTAATACGTCTAATCATCTTGAATGAGCCTCAAATCTGAGAAATTACAAATCATTTTTCCCAATATCTATTTCTATCAAACGGCTATTTCCCTTCATCAATCAAGATCTGATTGGCATGCATTTGTCTCACTCACTCGTTAGCGTTATCCGCATGACTGATAAGGACGGTTGGATCCTAAGGAATTGTCTTGGTGGTAATTTATCTTGAACGGATAATACCATGAGCGATATTGGCAATGATACGAGGTTTTTTGTAAC